GATAGGGTCTCAGTTTTTGCCCAGGCTGGCCTCAAACCTTACCTCTTGATCTCTGCCTCCTGAGTAGCTAGGATTACAAGTGTGAGCCACCAGTACCCAGCCTCATTTATCACTTTTGAATCTGATTTGTTTGTGTGTGTGTGTGTGTGTGTGTGTGTGTGTGTGTGTGTGTTGCTGGGGGTTGAACCCAAGCCCTCATATATATGGTAGGCAAGTACTCTAACACTGAGCTACACCTCTAGCCCTTAAAGCTAAATTTTATGTTTTGGGGGTAGCTGAGGTTTGGGGTAACAGGGCTTTGCACTTACTAAGCAAGCACTCTACCACTTGAGCCATGCTCCTAGCCCATTTTTGAGTTCAATTATTTTTCAGATAGGATCTCACATTTTTGCCTGGGTTGGCCTTTAACTGTGATACTGCTACCTATGCCTACCGTGGAACTTGGATTACAGATGTGTACCACCACACCAGTTTTCTTTGTTGAGATGAGGTCTTGATAACTTTTTGCCTGGACTGGCCTCAAACCTTGATCTTCCCAATCTCCACCTCCTCTGTAGCTGAGATTACAGGCATGTGCTACCACACCTGTCCTTAAAGTTGACTTTAAAGGCTAAAATGCATAGGGAAAAGTATACAAATTATAATTCAATCAATCATTTACCATGTTTTGCATTTTATAAATCAGGGCATTACTTAAAGTAAAATGCAAAATACTAATGAATTTTTACATACTACCTCTGCATAATCACTTATAAAATATTTCTATAGAACCCAGGCTTTTGTCAGTGTCCCCCACTAGACTATCACCTCTCTGAGGTCAGGAATTGGTTTTGTTCACCACTGTCCCCCAACACTTAAGACACAAAGGAGGCAGTCAATACATGCTTGTGGGCAAACATAGTGGTGGAGTGTCTCAAATGGTTGAGTGCCTGCTTAGCAAGTGTGAGGCCCTGAGTTCAATCCTTAGTGCCACCAAAACCAATAATAAGTAAATAAATGCTTGATGAGGAAATTTGAGCCTTCCTGGTGGGTGGACACAGTCTCAGGCTCCTATACACTTTGCCCCACCCTTTGGCCCTGGGTCTGAGTCTTCAGTTTCTTCCCATACTCTTCTCCAGGCACTGGAAACTTGGTCACCCATTGCGGTCTCTGCAATCCTCTGGCCCCAGGCAGTCTAAAGCAGTACGCCACAGGATGTCAAGAGTGGCCAGAGTCTACACAGGCAACTCTGATAATGCTCAGATTCTACTTAGTTTATTTTATATTTGTGGTGATGGGGGATGGAACCCAGGCTTCCGGCATGCTAGGCAAGCACTCCACCACCGAGCCCACCCCCAGCTCTCCCTTGAGTTTTAGAAAGGTATCAGAGTGATGCCAGCTACAGATTGCAACCATAAGCATGGCACACAGCAGGGCAGCTAGCATGTTTCAGGCACTGAATGGGTTTCAGTCTCAGTTCTCCTGTCACAGGAACCACCTGTGACAGGAGCGGGGGTGAAGAAGGGGGAGGGGAAACGCAGAAGCGGAGCAGAAAGGCCTCCATATGTCCCCACATCCAAGTACCCAGAGCTGACAAAGGGCTAAAAGACACACGCTGTGTCTGCAGAAAGCTGTGTAGAAGACAGTCACATGGGACTTACTGTGTCTTATTTATTTTTTTGAGCCAATGCCTCGACATGTAGCCCAGGCCGGCCTTGAACCCTTGGTCCCTCTTTCTCAGTCTCTCAAGTGCTAAAATTACAGACATGAGCCGGTACACCCATCATGGGACTTATTTTAGAGCCTCAGAAGAACATTCAGGCAGAAACAGAAAGATAGAATCCCATCCAGAAGGGGCAGCTGCTTGGGTTTAAAGATTGGGGTGGGGAAAGCAGAGAGTGGGAGGATTGGGGTTTCGGGCCAGCCCCAGTAAACAGTTTGTGAGATACCATCTCAAACAATGGCTGAGTGTGGTGGTGTACACCTGTTATACCAGCTACACAGGGAAGCCTGAATAGGACAGTCTCAATCTAGGTGACCAGGTATAAAACAGGGCCCTATCTCAAAAATAACTGGAGGTGTGGCTCAAGTGGTAGAGCGCCTTACTAGCAAGCACAAGGTCCTTAATCCAGCAGTACAATGAGTAAATAAATGTTGGGGTGAGTCGGGCACAGTGACTCACACCTGCAATCCTACTTGGGAGGCTGAGATTGGGAAGATTGTGGTTTGAGGCCAAACTCAGCAAAAGATTTGTGAGACCTCTCAACCACAAAACTGGGTGTGGCTCCTGCCCTGCTGAGATCACCCTTTTACTTATTGTTGGTCTGCCCATGGATCTAGGAGTCCAAACCCTTCTATCCTTTAATAAAGTTTTTAAAATGTCCCCCAAAAAAGCTGGGTGTGGTGGTTCATGCCTGTCATCCCAGCTACAAGGGAAGTGTAAAATAGGAAGTTGAGGTCCAGGCCAGCAGGCATAAACACGATACATGGTCTCAAAAATAACTAGAGCAGCTGCCACTGGTGGCTCACTCCTGTAATACTAGCTACTTGGGAGGCTGAGATAGGGAGGATCTCTAGTTTCAAGACCACCCTGGGCAAATAGTTCACAAAAACTCCATCTCCAAAAGGACAAGGGGAATGGCTCAAGTGATAGAGTGCCTGCCTAGCAAATGTAAGGCCCTGAGTTCAAACCTCAATACCACCAAGAAAAAAAAAAGAGAAGAAGAAGAAATGCACACCAAGAGTTGGACACAGTCACAAATATGGAGTCCCACAGTTTCAGAGAACATTCCAGCCTTGGCATTGTCATTACCATTAAACCCTATTGCTGGGGCACAGAATCACATGCATAAGACACCACAAGTGTAATGAGCATAGGCACATAGAGTCAGGAACTCAGACAGACGACACATACTGTTCAACAGACAATTATATGTAGAGGGATAGATATGGGTATCACACACTGCCACCTGTCTTTTTTATTGTTGTGGCACTGGCGTTTGAACTCAGGATCTCTCGCTTGCTAGGCAGGAGCTCTACCACTTGAGCCAAGCCCCTAAACTTTTTTGCTTTGGTTATTTTTCAGGTAGGGTATTGTAGTTTTGTCCAGGGCTAGCCTCAGACCACGATTCTCCTACCTACGGCCTCCAGAGAAGTTGGGACTACACATCTGACTTTATGATTGATATAAGGGTCTTAACTTTTTGCAGAGGCTGCCTTTGAACCATGATCCTCCTGATCTCTGCCTCCCCAGCCTGTCATGGACCTTGATAGTGGGACACATCATTCATTAATTAACAAACCAGTGACACATGGGGTGTTCAAACATGCAGCCACACAGGCAATCAGGCATGGGAGCGACTGTAGGCATGTTGACACGCATAGTGCTAGTCCCTCAATGCGGGATAAATTCCACTCCCCCCAGAGTCACAGACATCCAGAAGTTAGCACAATTACAGGTTTACATGCATGGGTACACATGGACACACAAGAAGTCACACACTCACCCTGACAGTCACACAATGAATGCTCAGATGGGGCTGAGACACACTGACACACACAACATGTCTGACCTACACTCACACAGCCATGTGCACACCTACATATCTTTGCTAGTTCTGAGACACTGCAAAAATGCATTAGAAAATTCCCACTGCATCACTCCATCACAGGGACACACACACACCACAGCCCCAGAACACAATCTTATTTGCACACAGAAAACCCCACAGGATCCTCAACTGTCAGTATGGGTAGCCCAAGGAGTCAAAGCAGACTCCAGGCCCTCCCAGTTGGGAAGGGAGAGAGAAGGGAGAGGAATGAATCCCTATCATAACAGTAGCACATACTATACTCATATGGCTGGTTTGCATAGATTAAGTCAAACTTCGAAAAAATCTTATTAAAGCCTAGTGTGGTGGCATACACCTGTAGTCCCAGCTACTCTGGAGGCTGAAGTGATAGGGTAACTTGAGTCTATGAGTTCGAAACCAGCTGGGCAACATAACAGGACTCTGGCTCAAACAAACTTGCCAAAACAAACAAAATTATATTTAAAAATCCTGTCCGTCGTCCAGGTGATGGTGACTCATGCCTGTGGTTCTAGCTACTCAGGAGGCAGAGATCAGGATTGTGGTTTGAAGCCAGCCCCGGCAAATGGTTCCAGAGACCTCATCTGCAAAAACCTTTCACAAAAAAAAAGTGCTGTTGGAGTGGTTTCAAACTCCAGCACCACACACACACACACACACACACACACACACACAAATACACACAAAATATCCAATATAAAAAAGGGCTGATGGAGTGGCTCAAGTTGTAGGGAGCCTGCCTAGCAAGGGTGAGGCCCTGAGTTCAAACATCCACTTGGGAGGAGGCAGGAGGATGGATCTAGAGTTCTAGGTCATCTTAGACTACATAGTTAGATCCTGTCTCAAAAAAACAAAACCAAAAAGTCTTACATGTTTACATTGTAGATGGCCCATTTTACAGGTGAGACAATCAAGGCACATGTTTTTTCTTTTGGTTATGGGGGTTTGAACTCAGGGCATATGCCACTTGCTTAGCAGGCTCTCTACCACCTGAACCTCTCTTCCAGCCCCGCACAGATAGTTTAAACACTAGCCCAATTCACGGAGCTAGATTATCAGTCTCTTTCTTTCAAATAATGCCAGCGCGGAATCCTCAGAGCCTAAAAGTGCGTTTGGAACACAATGTGTGCTCAATAAATGTTTGTTGAGTTAATGAAGGAATCCTCATCGCTTCCACCTGTAATAATTACTCTGCACTTCAGCTGCAGTCTTCGCTTGGACTCACCAGCCCCCCAAATTTAGCGTCGCCGCCCGGCCACACTCTAAAGTTCCCAAGTCAGGAGTGGCTTTGCTTGGTTTGCGGCGTGGGCGGGCTCGTTCTGAGGCGGGACCAACGTCGTTCCTCCTTCCTATTAGTGAATTTCCCGTTGGGGGCGGAACTTGTCTAAACCGGCTTTCTTGATTTGTTGTCTCCCTGGCGACTCGTGACCCGGAAGCTCTATGGGTCAACATGGCGGCGCCCAGTGCTAAGACGGAGCCGGCCGGGTGTCCGTAGCCGGCCGCTTGAGGAGGTAGGTCGCGCGTGGGGAGGCGAACATGAACCCTGGAGTCCGGAGTGTCACATTCCGGGCCTTGCATCACGGGAGACTGGCCTTTAGAGAGACCTGGTTGCAGGGCCTGGGCGCTATGACCTTTTGGGGTGCGGAGCGGGGACATGCGGGGCAAGGTTGCCCGGTTGCCCGACGTATGCACGCTTCCTCACTCCCTAATCTCCCATTCTGCGGAGGGAGGGGATAGCTGTCTCAGAAAGGGCAAGGCTGATTCCCGAGATCACACCGCAGGTCGGCCGTGAGACGGGCATTGGAACCTGCGTCTGCCTGTTGCTTCAAGGGACCTGCAATCCTGGCAGCTAGCCTGAGACCTCCGCGGATCCGACTTACAGACGTCTTGTAGAAACTTACCGCTATTCACGTTCACTTGATGTTTATTGATGACTTACCATAAACCAGGCACTGCCCGGGATGCAGGAGACGCAGCCATGGGAAAGACAGACAAAAGCCATTGTCAGACATTGAACAAGTCAGAAATAAGCAAATCATGTGATTTCATGATTTCATATTCTGAGACTTGCTAATGCATTAATAACGGTGTTGAGACCGGTTTGTTTTCCGAAATAGAGTCTCACTTTGTAGCCCAGGCTTGCCTGGAACTCAAGATCCTTCTGCCTCAGCCTCCCAAGTTCTGGGATTACAGGTGTGCATCATCACGCTTGGCAATCTCATTTTTAGAAACCTGAACAACCAGTCATCCATGGGGTGATCTGGAGGAAGAAAGTTATACGCACAGGGGAAGGCAAGTGCAAAGGCCCTGAGACTAGAATAAACTTGCCTTGTTTCAGAAACTGCAGCTGAAGTTGCCAGTGGTAGGATTTGTATTTAGAGGGAGTAGAATCAGTCTGAATTTAAGTATGACATAGCGTTAGAAATTTTATTATTAGTAGTAGTATTTTATTTTTATTTTTTGCAGTGCTAACTATGGAACATGCTAGGCAAGTGCTCTTACCACTTGAGTTACACCCAGCCCTCTAATTTACTTCTTTCTTTCTTTTTTTTTTTTTTGGTGGGACTGCAGTTTTAACTCAGGGTTTTGTTATTTTCCTTGGCTGGCCTTGAACCTCAGTCTCCCAAGCAGCTAGAATTATAGGCAGGAGCCACAAGCGCCTGGCATTTTTGAAAACTCCCTCTGGTCATGGAGACAGAACTTACGGAGGACAGAAGTGGTAGGACAGGTAGATATCCCTGAAAGAGATCATAGATGGGAGGTGGCCTGCAGAAAGGTGCATTTGGGTTGGATTTGGAAGTAGTCACCAGAACTTGTTGCTGGATTGAATGGGGAAGTGCGGGACATACTGGAGTGTTCTGGACATATGTGGTTTCTGGCCTGAACCACTAGTAATGAGAGCACCATTGGCAAGCATCCAAAGGAATAAGTTTAAGCATGGTAACAGTACGGTGCAATTTAAGTTTGAGATGGCAAGGTATGTTCCAAAGTGACAGGTTTAGAGGCTGGAAATGAATATTTGGGAGCCATTGGCATGTGTATCATCACATCTGAGACTTTAGTGCTCATAGGAGACAGTTAGGGCTGTTGTTAGAAACACAGTTTCTTAGCTAGGGCGCTGGTGGCTCACTCCTGTAATCCTAGCTACTCAGTAGGCAGAGATCAAGTGGATCAAGGCTCAAAGCCAGCCCAGGCAAATAGTTCTCAAGACCCTATCTCAAAAACTCCATCACAAAAAAGGGCCGCTGGAGTGGCTCAAGGTGTAGGCCCTGAGTGCACAAACCTCAGTACCGCCACTACCACAAAAAAAAGAAAAAAAGAGCAGTTTCTGATTCAGTAGGTGTGTGTTAGGGCCCAGACTGTGCATTTCTAGAAAGTTCCCAGCTGGCTGGTCCCTAAAACACACTTTGGCTGTTTTGTTTTTTTTCAGTGCTGGGGTTTGAACTCAGGGCCTCACGCTTGCTAGGCAGGCGCTCTACTACTTAAGCTATCCTGGGCCTCATGTGTGGTAGGCAAACACTCTACCACTGAGCTACACCTCCATCCCCTTAAAGTCTCAATGTAAGTCTCAGTCTTAGCTGTATATTAGGGTGATTGGGGTGCTTTAAAATGCTGATGCCTGGGCCCCACTTCCAGATAACCTGACTTAACATATTTAGGATATGACCTGGGCATGGGGATTTTTAAAAGCCCCCTAGATCATTCTAAGAACCCCTAGCAGTGAATGCAAGACATATGCTGACAAAAGAGCCAACTGCATAAGCCCCTCAGGCAAGCACAGACTGTGAGATTCTGTGCAGCCTCATTTCTCAAAGTGATCCCCAGACCAAGCATCACTCAGGAGCTGTCACATGTGCACAATGTGTGTGCACCCCAGATCTGTTGAATCTGCATTTTAACAACATCCCAGGGGATTTGTCTGCACCTTCAAACAGCGCAGGCTTCAGAGAAGGAAGCAGATCTTATCTATTGGCTGACACAGAGGCCTGGGTACCAGAAGAAAACTAAGAATGTTAAAGGGCCAATTGGGGGTGGGAACTTAACTGTATCACATGCTTCTGAGAAACTGAGCAAGATGAGACCTGAGAAGGCATCATGGGGCTTTGGTAAAAGGATTAACACACGGACCTGTACAACACTGGTGTCCTTGGGCTGATTGCGGCAGCAGCTTAATAGTGACAAGGAAAGAGTCATAGTGTGTAAATATCTTTTGGGAGAAGCTTGGGTGTAAAAGGAGCAGCAGGCTGGACTGACATTTTGAGTCAAGATGGCAGATGCTGTGAGTCTGTCTTCGCCCACCCTCTGTATCAGGAGGTGCTCCTTTCTGCCTTTCTATTTCTCCCTGCCTTGTCTGTTTTATTAAATAAACCTTTGCTAGTCTTCAACAAGAGAAAGACAGGAGATGCTAGATAAAGGGTGATATAAAAGATCCATACATTTCCCAAGGCATTCCCTGAGGCCCTGCTACCATGTTACCAAACCAAACAGATACCAATATCTCTTCAGAATACACATGTAATGTTCCTCAATAAAACAGTAGCAAACATAAAAAGGATGACACATCATGGCTAAGTAGAATTTAATCTCACAAATGGAAGGTTAGTTTAATGGCAGAAAATTAATGTACTATGTTAATAGAACAAAGGGCAGAAACCACTGAGTTACTCAATAAAATGCAAAAAAAAAAAGTTTGACAAAATCCCAATACCTTTTCTGATAGAAGCAGTTAGCAAACTAGGACTAGAAGGAAACTTCCAAAAACTGATAAATGCAGCCATGTTTTGCTGGGTGCAGTGGCTCATGCCTGTAAACTATTTGGGAGATGGAGATGAGAGGTTTGAGGCCAGCCCAGGCAAAAAAGTTAGTGAGACCCATTTCAATCAGTAAGCTGGGAATGGTTCATCGTGCCTGTCATCCCAACTATGAGGGAAGACCATCGGAAGACTGCAGTCTCAGTTTGGTGGGCAAAAAGACCCTATCTGAAACATAACCAAAAGCAAAAAGGAGCCAAGTGCCAGTGGCTCCTACCTGTAATCCTAGCTACTCAAGAGGCAGAGATCAGAAGGGTCCCAGTTCAAAGCCAGCCCTGGCAAATAGTTCACGAGACCCTATCTTGAAAAAACCCATCACATAAAAGGGCTGGTGGAGTGCCTTAAAGTGTAGGCTGAGTTCAAACCCCAACCCTAGTATTGCCAAAAAAAAAAAAGGCAAAAAGGGCTGGAGGCCTGGCTTAAGGGTGGAGTACCTGCCTAGGAAGTGCGAAGCCCTGAGCTCAAACCCCAGTACCACCAAAAAGGAAAAAGAAAACCCCACAGCCTACATAATGGTGAAAGATTGGATACTTATCCCTAAAGATCAGGAATAAGACAGGATGTCTATTCTGACCACTTAAATTCAATATTGTAGTGGAGGTTCCAAGCAGGTACACTTAGGCAAGAAAAAGAAATGGTATCCAGATCAGAAAGGAGTGAGTAAAACTCACTCCTTGAAATTCTCAAGGGATGGGCACATACAAAAATCCATCTAAGGCCTGGGGGTGTGGCTCAAATGGTAGAGTGCCTGCCCAGCAAGCACAAAACTTTGAGTTAAAAATCCCAGTGCTGCCACCAAAAAAAAAAAATCTAAAGAAAGAAAAATGCAGTCAGGTGTTGTGATTCATGTCTGTAATCCCAGCTACTCAGGAGGTGAAGGCAGGAGAATCATGAGTTCAAGGCCAGTCTAGACAAAGTCAGCAAGACTGTATCTCAAAAGCAAAACAAAAACAAAAGAACTGGGAACATGGCTTAAATGGTAGAGTGCTTGACTAGCAAGCTTCAGGCCCTGGATTTGATTCCTAGTACCTGGAAAAAAAAAAGAACCAGGAATGGTGACACATGCCTGTAATACTGAGGCAGTAGAATCCAGAGCTCAAGGCCAACCTGGAAAAAGAATCCACAGAATAGGGGACAACATTTGCAAATCATAAGATTATCATCCAGAATATATAAAGATCTCTTACAACTCAGTAAGAAAATAAATAACCTGATTTGTTTTTAATTAATTAATTTTTAGCAGTACTGAGGCTTGAACTCAGGGCCTGCACCTTGAGCCACTCCACCAGCCCTTTTTCATGATGGGTTTTTTCAAGATAGGGTTTCAAGGAACTATTTGCCCAGGCTGGGTTCACACCATGATCCTTCTGATCTCTATTTTCCTGAGTAGCCAGGATTACAGGTGTGAACCACTGGGGCCCGGCCTCTATTGACATTTTTAAAAGGAAATTCACTTGAGAAAAGTTGAGAGGATCACTTTATAGTCCTCTTTACATAATGAAATTGACAGTAAATAAATTTTTTTTAAAAAAATGATCCAGTAGGGAGGAGTCCATTACCTGACCAAATTCCTGAAGACAGTGAAGGGTTTGGCCTGGCAGAACTGGAACCTCTGACGTGACAGTTGTCTAAACCTGTCTGTGGATCAGGAAGCCCCAGGGGTTGGGGTTCGGAGTGTGTGCTCTGCCATGAGGGCACCTGGTCTCCCTAGCAGTTGGACTGCCAACCTAATGCCTTCTTATCTCTCTTGGCCAGGTGGCGGTCTGACTGGCAGAGGCATGAGCTGGGTGCAGGCCAGCCTGCTGGCCCGAGGCCTCTGTAGGGGCTGGGGAGGCATCTGCGGGGCTGCCCTCACAGGAGCCCCCTTCTCTCAGGTAACCACTAGCCAGGCTTTCATGGGGTGGAGGGAGGAAGGCCTGGGATTTGCTTCCCCCCACCCCCTCCCCCGCAGATTGAACACAAAAAAGTGGGTTCTGGGTTCTGGTGGGCTGAGGCTCACCTGTCTGTACTAAGGTTCTGTTGAAGGAAGGTCCTCAATTTTCTTTTTTTTGGCTGTACTGGGATTTTTTTTTTTTTTTTTTTTTTTTTTGTGGCACTGGAGAAGTAGTCAGGGCTTCATGCTTGCTAAGCAGGCACTGTAATGCTTGAGCTACTCCACTAGCCTGTATTAGGGTTTGAACTCAGGGCCTTGTGCTAGGCAGGTGCTCTGCTACTCGGGCCATGCCCCAAACCATGTATTTTCTTTTTGAGATAAGAGTTTCACTAAATTTGCCTGGGCTACCCTCAAACTTGAAATTCTCTTGCCTCCAGCTCCCAAGTAGCTGGGATTACAGATGTGGATCACCACACCTCCTAATTTCTTTTAAGGGGTGTGCATATGGGTTAGGGTGTGGACTTTGAAATTAAGGTTGTATGAGCTGAGTAGATTTGAGTCATGACTTTGTGTAGTTCCTACATCTGCTTATAAAGGTGGGCATAAAAAACTAACTTCCCCATCCAGCCTTCATCACGCTTTATTTTTAAATTTTTAATTTAGGTCTTAAATTATTTATTTTGCAGTGCTGGGGATGGAGCCCGGTGTCTTGTGCATGCTAGGCAAGTGTTCTATCACTATATACCCACCTCTATGCTGGTTTTGTTTCTATTATTTTTAATTTTACTTACTTAATTCTTGGTGGAACTGGGATTTGAACTTGGCCTCATGCTTTCTAGGCAAGTGCTCTACCATTCGGACTGCAATCTTTGCCCTTTTTGCTTTAGTTATATTTTGAATAGTGTCTCATATTTATATCCAGGCCAACCTAGATCAGGATCCTATGTATGCTTTCCATATAGCAGGGATGACAGACAGGTGCGTGTCACATGCCCAGCTTTTTTATTGGTTGAGATGGGGTTCACGAACTTTTAGCTCAGGCTGGCCTATGTTTGCCTCCCAAATAGCTAGACTTATAGGCATGAGCCAACATGCCTGGCTTTGTTTTTACTTTTATTTACTTATGTTTTTATGGCTCTGGGGTTTGAACTCAGGGCCTCATACTTGACAAGCACATACTTGAGCCATGTCCCAAACCCTTTCTGCTTTAGTTACTTTTCAGAATGTTTTCTTATGCTTTTGCTTGGGCTGGCTTCAGTCTGTGAGCCTCCTACCTCTGCCTCCTCCATAGCTGGAATTATAGGCATATAGGCATACCCCATTGCACCAGCCTGTTCTTTTTTTTTGGTACTGGGGCTTGAACTCAGGGCTTTGTACTGCTAAGCAGATGCTCTCCCACTTGAGCCACTCCATCAGCTCCCATCCTGTCTTTTGAGACAGGGTTTCACTTTTGCCAGGGCTAGCCTTGAGCTCCAGTTCTCTAGATCTCTTATCTCCTGAGTCACTGGGATTACAAATGTGAGCCACCATGTCCTACTCCCTTGTTATTTTTTATTTATTTATTTGCAATACTGGGGCTTGAACTCAGGGCCTACACCTTGAGCCACTCCACCAGCCCTTTTTTATGATTTTTTTTTTCAAGATAGAATCTTGTGAACTATTTGCTTGGGCCGGCTTCCAACTGTGTTCCTCCTGATCTCTGCCTCCTGAGTAGCGAGGATTGTAGGCATGAGCCACCGGCACCTGGCTTATTTTTAAATTTCATACTGTATCTTGGAGCTCATTCCAAGCCATACAGGAATACCCTCATCAGTGCATTTTCGAGTTACAGGTGCTCCTTGTCCAAGTTCAAAGTCATTTGCTTAGCCACTTCCTTGTCTTTGGGCATTAGGGTCATTTCTATAATGGCAGTAGACACCCTTGTGGAAAAGTCACTTGGCACAGGCATGCTTGTAGCTGTGAGACTTAAATACCCATCTGTAGGACTGTTGCAGCAAGGTGTGTGTTTGTCATCATGATGAATGTTAGGGAGGTTTTACCAACTGTACCCAGCAGTTGCTAAGAGTGCCTGTTTCCTCTTCCATATTGATATTTGATACTGTGGGTTTTTTGTTTTTATTTTTGTTTTTTGGAGGCACTGGGGTTTGAACACAGTACTTCACGATTGCTAGGCAGGTGCTCTATCACTTAAGCTTCTCTTCCAGACACGTTTTTGGTTTTTTTGAGACAGAATCTTGCTATTGGCCCAGGTTGGCTTTGAACTCAAGATCCAACTGTCTCTGTCCCCTAAGTGCTGGAATTACAGGTGTGCACCACCACACAGAACTGTGTTTTATCATATTCTGTAATCTTGGCTTTGTAACCACAGCACCATACTTCCTCAAAGGCCTTGAGGATTGCCAAGAACACCTCTCTCAGGAAAGAGCCAGCCCAGCAGCTTCTCAGAGACATTAGTTGGTGCCACATTCCAGCAGCAGTCCTTTGTCCCCAGGTGCCCCTGCGGGGCCTCCACTGCAGCACAGCCACCCACAACAATGAGATGTCACTGGTTCCTCGTCCACCTAAGCCCCAGCAGAGGCCCATCAAGGCCCTTGAGCCCCACGAGGAGCTGTTCAGGCAATCGTCAGATGGGGAGCGGGACAAGGCGAGCTTTGTGAGGGCCGTGCAGAACTTTGGGCAGCACAGTGTGCGCAAGCGGGGCCACGTCGACTTCATCTACCTTGCCCTGCGCAAGATGCCAGAGTACCACGTTGAGCGGGACCTGACTGTCTATAACCTGTTGCTGGATGTCTTCCCCAAGGAGGTCTTTCGGCCTCGAAACTTTATCCAGCGCATCTTCATCCACTACCCTCGGCAGCAGGAGTGTGGCCTTGCAGTCCTGGAGCAAATGGAGAAATATGGTGAGGCCTGCAGGCGCGCTCAGGACAGGAAGTGGGTGGCAGCCTCCCTTTTCCCATGGCTTCCCGGCTCTACTCCTTTCTCTGTGTATACGTCTTATTCCCCCCTTCCCCAATCTTTGTTATTGTTGTTGTTATTGTTTTGAGACAGGGTCACACTATGTAGCCCATGCTGGTCTTAAATCTCAGTCTTCCTGCCTAAGCCTCCCAAGTGCTGGGATTACAGAGATGCACCACCACACCCGGCTTCAATCACTTTTTTTTTTCATTTATTCATTTGTGCATACAATGTTTGGGTCATTTCTTCCCCCACTCCCTCCCTTCCAGGCAGAAACTGTTCTGCCCTTATCTCTAATTTTGAAGAGAGAGTATAAACAATAATAAGAAGGACCAAGGATTTTTGCTAGTTAAGGATAGCTATACAGGGAAATTCCTCGCACTGCTTTCATGTACATATGTGTTACATTCTAAGTTGATTCTTCTCAAACTGACCTTTTCTCTAGTTCCTGGTCCCCTTCTCCTATTGGCCTCTGTCACTTTAAAGTTTCTGCATTAGTTCTCTTGCATTGAGGACATCGAATACTATCATTTTTTTTGGGTTTTTTACCTGTCCTCATACCTCCCTTGTACTCTTTTTTTTAATCGCTCTTTTTGTCCTTCATCTCTTTCCTGCCTCCCTTAGGCCTTTTCTTTATAATTCTCACTGATTCTGTTCTCCCTGTTATCCATCCCCTGACTTCAATTCTCCATCTCCCTTCTCTCCTCTCCTCTCCTGCCTCCCTGAGGCTTGACCGTATCTTCTCGGCACAGGAGTCATGCCCAACAAGGAGACGGAATTCCTGCTGCTACAGATATTTGGACACAAAAGCTACCCCATGCTCAAGTTCCTGCGTATGAGGCTGTGGCTCACCCGCTTCAAGAACAGCAACCCTTTTCCGGTGCCCTGGGACCTGCCCCAGGACCCTGTGGACCTGGCCAAGCTGGGCCTGCGGCACATAGAGCCCAGCCTCAGTGCCAAGGTCACCATCTACCAGGTATCTACTCCTATATATACCGCACTTGCTGTCCACAGCAAGCTTCAGTCCCCAGCTGGGCCCCATCATCACTCCCCAGGAGTCCACTTCACTCATCTGGGGTGACTATGCTAAAGGAATTCTGATTCCCTGGCTCAGTCCTCCAAAAGATTTCCATGGTCCTTCCTCTTTCTCACAAATTGACCTGAGTCCATTGAGCTGCTATAACAAAATACCTGAGCCTGAGTGTTTTTATAAAGGACAAAGCACAAGAGAGATGTGGCTCAGAGGTACAGTGCTTATCTAGCATGTATGAGACTCCGAGTTCCATCCCTAGCACTGGGGAGAAGGAAAAAAAATAAGTTTTGGAGGCTGAAAGTCCAAGATTGAGTGGCTCCCATCTGTTTGGCTTCAGGTAGGCATACATGCAGAAGAAATCACTTGGCAAGGCAGGAAGCCAGAGAAACTCAGAGGCCTGGCACATTCACTTTTTAAATTTTTATTTGCCTTGGGTTTTGTTGTTTTGTGTGGTGGTACTGGAGTTTGAACTCAGGGCCTCACACTTGCTGGGCAGGCACTCTACCACTTGAGCCACTCTGCCAGCCATTTTGTGTTGGGTATTTTCAAGATAGGGTCTTGCAAACTGTTTGCCCAGGGCTGACTTCAAACTCTTGATCTCTGCCTCCTGAGTAGCTAGGATTGCAGGGGTTAGCCACCGGTGCCTGGCTCAAAATTAATTTCTTTTGGCATAATAATGGTGATGAAACCCAGTGCCTTGGACATGCTAGGCAAGTGCTCTGTCACTGAGCTCAGTGCCAGCCCTGTCCTAAGTTTCTTGGTACCATCTGAAGTAAGGGCTGTTATTGTCCTTATTTGGCAATTGAAGAAACTGAGGCAGCTGAGTCCACTGATGTGGCTGAAGTCCTACAGCCTGTGACAGAACAGGATTATTTTTGTGTGTGTGAGACTAGAATTTCAACTCAGGGCTTCACAGTTAAAGCAGGAACTCTACTGCTTGAGCCACACCTCAAGCCCATTTTGCTCTGGATATTTTGGAGATGGGGGTCTTGAGAACAATTTGCCTGAGCTGGCCTTGAATCTCAGTCCTCACGATTTCAGCTTTCCAAGTAGTTAGGATTACAGGCATGAGTTACTGTACCCAGACCAGAGCCAGGATTTTGATGTAGGTAGGCTAGCTGCACAGTTCTCTCAGTGTGAGCATCTTAAATGTTGGTGGCTCCAAACTGGATAAAAGGGTGGGGACTGATTTCAGTGACATGTAGGAGACCCAGGAGAAGTGTCTGGACTTGCTGGCATCACCCTTTCCATTTCTCTTTCCCTGGCTCTTCTATAGGGGCTGGGGCAGGGGTGAGGAGTCACAAGTTTGCACCTTGTTCTTCTTGTAGATGCCTTTGTCCAATGACCAGACAGGTACAGAGGATCCCACACAGCCCCATATTGTAGGTAAGGCCCAAGTACAGGATGGCCAGGCCTGTGACCTGTCACTGCCTGTTCCCACTGGGCCCTCTGGGTGGCTCCCTGGGCCTTTGGGAGGCAGAGCATCAGCTCATATGGATCTCCACACCAGGAATCCAGAGTCTTGATCAGAAGGTGGCCCTGGCTAACCACAATCCAGCCCGGCCTATCTTCGTCGAGGGCCCCTTCTCCTTGTGGCTGCGCAACAAGTGCATCTACTACCACATTCTAAGAGCAGACCTGCCATCCCCTGAGGAGAGGGTGAGAACCAGAGCACATGTGGGGGAGGGGAATGGGGAGGGGCAGCACTGCCCTAAGGCTCAATGAGGGCCTGATGGGCATGGAGGCTGCAGGATCCTGGGCCTCTGACCTTAACTGCACCCTCCTCCCTGAGATAGGAAGTGGAGGAGATCCCAGAGGAATGGAACCTCTACTACCCAATGAAGCTGGACCTGGAGTATGGCAGGAGCAGCTGGGACGACTATGAGTTTGATATCAACAAAGGTAAAAAGCTGGGCATGCAAAACTCAACGCCACTATGGATTTGTGGCTGAGACACAGCCCAAGTACCACACATATACACAAGTCATGTACCCAAGGGCTTGTGGCCTCCTGTTAGCCCCTGGTCACACCTTCCCTTCTTCACACCTTTATGGAGCATCTCTGTGCTGGCTACTGTGCTTGACCAGGGCAGACCTGGTCCCTCAGGCCAGTGGGAAGCAGGCAAGTTCAAGAGGAGCATAGCACCCAGCCTCAAGTGGAAGAGTCAGGGAGACTTCCTGAAACTCTAGTCTAGGAAGACTAGATTGAAGGGCAGCTTGTGCAAAGGTGTGGAGGCACCAGACACTGACAGATAACTAGCTCAAAGTACCTCAAAGAGTATAGGAATGGAGGGACTGCCGCACCCCACTGCACAAACTTCTCTCTCTCAACAGTGGAGGAAGGCCCTGTGTTCGCCATGTGCATGGCGGGTGCCCACGACCAGCCAACACTAGCAAAGTGGATCCAGGGTCTGCAGGAAACGAACCCAGCCCTGGCCCAGATTCCCGTGATCTTCCGTCTGGCAGGGTCCTCAGGGGAGCTCCTGACATCCTCAGGGCTGGAGGAGACACCTTTGCCCACATCGGAGGGCCAGGAGGAAGAAGACAACCATCTGCAGAAACAGCAGCAGGGCCAGAGTTGAGTCTGGGGAACACCAGGCTGTGGCGCCAGGAGGCTGTGGACTGGTGTGGACTGAGGATGAACTTTTGATTGTACAGCAAATAAAAAATGTACCTGCTCTGGACTGTCTTCCCTCCTTTCTAGCCGTGTAGCATCCCTTTCTAAGGATCTCAGAAGTTGGGGACCAGGTGACAGGTCCCTCCTACTGGATAAGGTCAACAGACTCTTCTGGCTCTGTCACCCTAGGCTGGATACACACGTAACATCCTTTTAAACGAAGTTGGGAAGTTAACTGAAAAGGCAGTGGAGAGAAGAGTGGGTTTGCGCGCGCATGCGCAGCTCCCGCCCTAGGTCCCCTTTTGGTGCCGCGGGGCAGTGAGAAATTTCCCGGCGGCGCGTAAGATGCGCGCCACTTCCGGTCGGGCTCCTAACAACGGGGGAGGCTGGTAACCAGGGTGGGGGGGATGGCGGAGCGAGCGCCGGAGCCCGAGGCGGAGGCGGAGGCTGAGGCTGAGGCGGGCGCAGGCGGGGAGGCGGCGGCCGAGGAGGGCGCGGCAGGCCGCAAGGCGCGGGGCCGGCCGCGACTCACAGAGTCGGACCGGGCCCGGCGGAGGCTCGAGTCCCGGAAGAAGTACGACGTGCGGCGCGTGTACCTGGGCGAGGCGCACGGACCCTGGGTGGACCTGAGGCGCCGCAGCGGTTGGAGCGACGCCAAGCTCGCCGCCTACCTCATCTCGCTGGAGCGCGGCCAGCGTAGCAGCCGCCACGGGTGAGGGGGCCCTGCCGGAGGGAGGGAGCGAGAGAGGGAGGAGACGCCCCATCCCCGGTTGAGCTTGGCTCCGCCCACACCGGTTTAAGGCCCCGCCCTCGGCACCTGTGAGCCCCACCCAAAGGGCCAAGCCGCCGGCCTGGGTCTCCGGCTGCGGGGACCCCGAGCGCGCCTGGCTCGCGGCTCCGCCTCCCCCAGCCCTCCGACTGCCCAATCCTAGGATTCGCCCAGCCTCTTGGCCCGCCTTCTGGGCGCTTGTTCCCGCCCGGTAGAACTCTGGCTGCCCAATCTCCGCACTGGCCCCACCTCCTGGCATTCTAACTATCCAATCCTTGTAGTGGCGGCTCCGCCCCCTGAGGTCTTCCTCGGATTGTAGGTCCCGCCTGTGCCCTGGGTAACCACAGATCCTTCAAAGCCCCCATACCTGCCCTAGGACTCTGACTAGACACTCTGGGGCATGAGGCTCTAGTGCCCCAATGGGACTGCATATGGCCCTATTCCCACAACCCCAGGCCCCGTACACCTGGGACCGGTAAAGGTCCTGCCTCCTAGGGAGCAACTCAGCCCGGGGTCGCTCAGGGGAAGAGGAAGCTCCGAGTTAGCTGCTAAAGCAGAGGACAGAAGCTTTTGCAAAGTCTCAAACTTGAATGGAGTTTTTCCTTCCTGCCTTATAGGTTGATGTGTCAAGTGAGCTAAAATAAGGATCCTCTGGATTTCAGCCTCCCAAAAAACTAGGATTACAGGCATGAGCCACTGGCGCCTGGCAACGTCCGTAATTTTTTTTTAACAGTATAGAAATGACATAAAATAAAAATCATACTATTACATCGAGGCTATGGGGAGTGAGGGTGGGAGCCGGGAGACCAGCTCAATTCCATGAAAAATTGGAAAACAGGCACACCCAGCAGGTCAGGGAGAGGGATCTGGTGGGAGTGATGAAGGAAAGAATGGAAGCAAACAGCAAGGGAGAGCAAGCCAAGTTTGCTGTTCATGGTTTTGGGACTGGCCACTGAAATGAAAGCAAAGCCACCAGGGTTCAGAAAGCTCCAACTGCTGCCATAGATACTAGGCTGGAAGTCAAGAGCTGTGGACTTGGAGGGACATGCAGGGGAGGGAAGGCGGTGTGAGGCAGAAAGCACAGCATGAGCCCTGGACACAGCACTCCCTGTGACCCATGACCTTGTTTAATCCATTTCTTTGTGGGAGGCACTGCTGTTACCCCACTGCACAGATGAGGACAGTGAGGCTCAAAGGGGACCGGACCTTTTATTTTTTGAGATAGGGTCTCACTATGTAGACTATGAACTGGCCCTGAACTCACTGTGTAGCCCATGCTGGCCTCCAACTTGTGGTCCCCCTGCTTCAGCTCCCTAAGTGCGGGGATTACAGGCCTGTACTACCCCACCCAGCTTCCAGAACTCTTGAGGTCTCACAGGCAGTCCTTAGTAAAGCTAAGCCTTTGAACTTGGATCTGGCTGATGTCCAAGACCATCTGCACCACATTGTGGCATTCCCAGTACTCCAGCTGTGGCAGGGCCATGAGTGTGTGGGTGGAGGTAGACTTTGGTGTCTGGACATAGGTTTAAGTGAGGGTCTGAGCAGTTGGGGAACCTTTGAAATGGAGGGTGGAGCCATGAGAGGGCATAGAGGTATTTGGGATGGAGCAAGGTTGAGGGGAGCCACGGGGAAGGACAGACATGGGGCAGGAGGAATGGAAGAGCACAGGGTTCTGCCCTGGGACCAGACTTTGGGTAGGGGACTGAGAATTGTTATAGGCTTGGCAGGAGTCAGTGGGGTGGACAGGTTTGTTGGTTAGAGCCCCGAGACTGGCTGTCAGGGTGTTTGCCTTCCAGCAAGGGCAGGGAGGCCAGCACTGGGGAGGCAACAGATGTCAGGGGAACATTGATAATCGTCATTATCGTTGCTGCTGTTTGCTGAGCTGTGCCTAGGGTCAGCAGCTGCCCTGAGTTGTTTCAATGCACATACGCTCACACTAACCCCATGAGGAAACTGCTGTTAAGATGTCATGCTGCAGATGGGGAAACTGAGGCACAAAGAGGCAAGGTCATGTGCCCAAAATCCAGAGCCTACTGCTGCTGGCATAGAAGAAGAAGGCAAGGCAGCAGCTCAGGTGGGGTGACAGAAAGGGAGAGGGATCCTCCAGCAAGTCAGAGAGGTGACTCTAGAACAACCTGTGCTCAGTCTGTGTGACAGCAGGGTGGCCCACATGCCTGGCAGGAGTCCATGAAGAATCCTCAGCTGTGCCCTGGGCCCCCTGAGGTCTTGGAACATACAGTCAGGGCCACAGCCAGAGTGGAAAGGTAGAGAGGCAGGTGGGCCTGATATCCAGGTCATCTGGGCCCTAGAGGACAGCACCTCATGGAGCAGGCAGTGAGAGGGTGGGCAGAGTCCCCAGCAAAGCCCGCTGTCCAGGGTGGGTTTCACACTTCTGCCAGCACTTGGCAGGGCAGCAGGGCTTCTAAGGCCGGCTCTATGTGTTTCCTGTAGCTGCAAAGCAAGTACCCAAAAGACATGCACATCTATCATCCCTTGTCTCTGTGGGTCAGGAACTGGCACACTTGTGCTGGCTCCTCCGCTCAGTGTCCCAGAGGTTGAAATCAAGGCCTCAGCCACCTCTGCTTCATCTGGTAGTGTACTAGGAACACATCGCCCTTCAGCATGCTAGTAGAATTCATTTATTCTTGTTGTGGGATTGAGGTCCCTGCTGTTACACTGGCTATTGGGTGGGATTGCTCTTGGTCCTAGAGGTCACTCTCAGGTCCTGGTTGTATTGTGTCTCCATGGGCTTCTCCATGTTCCTTGTTTCCTATTGTTGACTGCAAGCCAGGATCAGTACCTTTTTTTTTTTTAGTGAGACTGGTGCTTGAAATTCAAGTACCTACACTTGAGCTACTCCATCAGCCCTTTTTTGTGTTGTTCCCAGGCTGGCTTTGAACCGAGATCCTCTTTATCTCTCCTTCCTGAGTAGTTGGGATTACAGGGATTACAGACACGAGCCACCAGCACCTGGCAGCCAGTCCCTTTTTTAACACAGTGTAAATAGCATGTACATCGTGTTGTGCTGTATTATTTAGAGAATACTAAGAAGAAAAAAGGTATATATGATTTTTTCAGTATTTTTCATACATGGTTAGTGGAACCCATGAATGTGGGTGTACGGAGTGAGTGGGTTTCAGGAGATGGGAATCATGGGGGCCTCTTAAAATTCTGCCTGCCACACCGACTTTCCCTATCTTCTTTCTACTTCTCCATTCCCTGACTGTGGGGCCCAGGACAGATGGCCTCACAGGTCTGTGCCTCAGTTTCCCTCTCTGCGAGATAAGTAATGATAGCAGACCTCCCTGGAGTAGACAGCCCCAGCCAAGGGCCTGCTGACACACCACCAGAGGCAGGCAGCTAAACAGAAGCTCAAGTTCTACCCCAGAGCCAGACAAGTTGCTATTGTTACTTATCATCAGTATCATTACTTATCATCAGTCAGGACTCGGACCCAACCTTGGCCCTGAACTCACCCTCACTGCCTCTATCTGTTGCAGGAAGCCTTGGGAGCAAGTCCCCAAAAAGTCAAAGTGGAAGAAACGTAAGTGGTGCCCACTGCAGCCTGAGGGAGAGGGGGGATAGTGGAAATGCAGAAAGAAAGCCAGACCCAGAGAGGCTGAGGCACAGTTGGAAGGTGGCCAAGCCAGACCCCAACCCCCCAACCCTAGGTCAGTACTTGCCTTAGTTCTTCTGCTGCCCTGCTTCCCTGTGTGGAGCCAAGTAGAGGGAATGGCTTATACAAAAACCCAAGGGTGGGTCGTGGGCCAGTCTGGAGCTCAGGTCTCCTGCCCAACAGTTGGTGGAACCTGTGAATGCAGAGGGCAGACTGTATAGAGAGTGGATCCCAGGAGGTGGGAATCATGGGGCCCTCTTAGAGTTCCACCTGCCAAAGTGGCTTCCCATTCCCTTTCTCCTTCTCTGGTCCCTGAGTCAATACAGGCCCCACCCAGCATGGCCACCAAACCCTGCTGAGACCTGCAGCTGTGGGTCTCTACAGGTCCTGCAGGAGGAAGGCCAGGAGTTAAGGGAGACCACCTGGTGGCAGCAAGCCCCACCCCCTCTGTTCTCTCAAGGTGAAACCAGCTAAGACCTTGATCCTGGAATCCCAAAGGGATAGGGACTACCTGGCTGGAGAGGCAGCTGCTGGTGATGTCTCTGTTGTCCTGTGGTTACCACTAGGTTGGAGACCCTGGGCATAGTTCCAAGTCCCAAGAACCTCTTCTGGGTCCCTTCCTCATCTCACAGCCCTGAAGGTGAGAGACACACCTCCATCCAAATTGGCCAAGGGACCTGGACCATCAAACTAGTCAAGGTTCCAGCCTGTCTGTGCCATGTCGATGACTTTGCTCCCTTCCTCCTCCCAGGCAGCTCTCAGGGATGGAATCCTTATTCTCTCCTGGAGGCAACCAGGGTTCAGAGAGGTTGAGTCATTCACCTGAAGCCACCCAGCTAGGAAGTAGCAGAGCCAGGGTTTGAACCCAGAAGTCTGGTCTAACCATGCCCACTCCTTGCAGCACCCTCTTCACCCTGCACGTGTTTGTGGATCTCCTGTGCTAGGCCTGATGGGACAAAACCAAGAAATGTCCATGTCTTTGGGGAGCTGACATTCCAGTGGGGGAGAGAGACAAGAAATAACCACACACAACATCTGGGTGCCACCAGGAGTCTAGCATGTGCATGGCCCTGGTACCCAGCAGTGTAAACATATAAAAGTTAGCTAGAGTGACCTGGGAAAGGGGTGGCCTCTCAGAAGAGGGCAGACGGGGAGAGACCTTAGTGAAGGTGGAGGGAGTACAACAGTTATCTAGAGGAAGAGTGCACAGCCTAAGCAAAAGTCCCAAGGCGGCCATACCTGGTTCATTTGAGGAACAGCTAGGAGGCCGTGTATCTGGAGGGGAGGGAGGGGGAAAGTGGAAGGAGGTGAGAGAGGAGAGATGACTGGCACATGGTTCATGACCTTGTGGGCCACAGGACTTTGGCTTTTCTCTTTTGAGGTGGGAGCCACCACAGATCCTAAGCAGAAGGAGGTGTCCTAACTTGGTTGTTCCCAGGTGCCCTCTGGCGGCTGTGGGGAGGCAGTGAGGGCAAGAGCCAGGAATAAGTCCCCAGGGACTGTATGGGTCTAGGTGAGAAGTATTGATGAAAACTGTAACAATTATTGCATACCTGGAGCCAGATGAACTCAGGCAATGAGAACAACCTTTCGGCAGTCCCCGTATCTCTAGTGCGTGTCTCCTCTTCTGTAAACTGAGTGCAACGCTCGGGAGGGCTGCCAGTCTTGGTGTCCCCAAGGAGCAGAACAGTGCCCCTCACACCGACCCCAGTTCTGTATTCACAGGGCGGCGACGCAATGTGAACTGCCTGAAGAATGTGGTGATTTGGTATGAGGACCACAAGCACCGCTGCCCATACGAACCACACCTGGCTGAGCTGGATCCCACCTTCGGCCTGTATACCACAGCCGTATGGCAGTGTGAAGCAGGCCACCGCTACTTCCAGGACCTGCACTCACCCCTGAAGCCCCTCAGTGACTCAGAGCCTGACAGTGACAAAGGTGGGGCCACAGGGCAAAGATGGCAGGGGGCCATTGGGATTGTGGGCTCTGCAGTCCCACCTGGGTGATCAGCCTGGGTTACCGCCAGCCTCAGGTCAGCATTGCAAACATAACAGCCACCACAATGGCAATGGGACAGTGGCCTGGCTGAGCCCTTGTGGAGCTGGGTAGGAGCAGCTATGTTACCTAGCCGCAGATAGGGAACAGGGCTGGGTGCTGGGTGCTCAGCAGTGGAAAACTTCCCTGCTGCCCTCCAACACTTTTTTAATTTTCTCTGGCTCTTTTTCAGGCCTGACACTCCCAGCTCATCTCTGTCCCTCTGTCTTGCCTCTTTCCTCACTTCCTTTTCCCTTTCTGAGCTGTGTCTCTTTCCCCTTGTTTTTTCTTGGCAGCACTAGAGTTTGAATTCTGGGCCTTACACTTGTTCTCACCACTTGAGCCACTCCATCAGCTCTTTTTTTTGTGATGGGTTTTTTTCCAGATAGGGTTTCACGAATTACTTGCCCAGGGCTGGCTTTCAACCATTACCATCCTGATCTCTGTTACTGGTGACATGAGCCACCAGTGCCCAGCTCTTTTGTGTGTGTGTATGTGTGTGTGTGTATGTTGTGTGTGTGTGTGTGTGTGTGTGTGTGTGTGTGTGTGTGTGTTGCTTGGGATGGAGCCCAGAGCTAAGCCAGTACTCTACCACTGAGCTATATCCCCAGCCCTTGCTATTTTGTTGTTGTTGTGGTGGTACTGGGACTTGAACTCATTATTACACCTTGACCCACTCTATCAGCCCTTTTTTTTGTGATTTTTTTTCAAGATAGGGTCTCGAGAATTATTTGCCCAGGCTGGCTTCAAACCATGATCCTCTTGATCTCTATCTCCTGAATAGCTAGGATTATAGGAGTGAGCCACTGGCACACAGCATACCCTTGCTTTTTCTGAGATAGGGTATTACTGTGTGGCCCAGGCTGGCCTGGGACTCTAGTTCCTCCTGCTTCAGCCTCCCAAGACCACTGGGATTAAGATCATGTCACCACCACACCCAGCTTTTTTCCCTTTCTTGATCTTATGTTTCTTCCTCCTCTGACTTTCTCCTGTCTCCTTCCTTCTTTTCCCCTTCTTCCTCCCTCCCTGTCTTACTGTGCCTGCCCCTTTCCCTTCATTCTGAATTCTACACTGGTCACCCTGGGCTGACTGCCCACTAAGGGCTGAGAGGGACTCTTGAGGAGTCCTGGGGAGCTCAGGACATGGAGTGGGGTAGGCAGAAAGAGCACTGCCTGCTGCCTCAGGGACTTGGCATGGTTGAAATGGAATGAGTGTGGGGCCCACTGCCAGGGCTGAGTGTTGGGTCAGTAACCAGGGCTGAGCCCTCGCTGGCAGTCATCATGGAACAGGTGGCATCCCAGCTGGCCGAGGGGAAGCCGGGGGCGAGAGATGTTCCTGGGGGCACCCACGCCTACGGCCAACCCACTGGGCATCGGCCAGGCTCCCAGCAGACAGATGTCCTATATTTCATGACAGCAGCCTGCCCTCATCTGCCTGTCACTACCCCTTACTGGGCCCCCCTCCAGGGCCTGTCCAGATTCACCTTGAATCTCCCCCAAAACCCTGGCATTAGTTCCACATTATGATGAGGAACCCTTGGCCTCAGGAGGAGCAGAACTGGCCTGTCTAATGACCAGTCAGGCTGGGATGACCATGATACCCAGAGGATCTTCCTGTTCCCCAAACCAAATTTGACCTGTAGATCTAGGAATGAGCACTGTGATCCATTAGCCATGTCCGTTAGAGGCGAAGGTGAAGGAAGTGGCCTTGTTCCTATGTCAGCCCTGTTTCCTTACCTGTGCTGTGCCTGGGGTGGCCGTCACCTCTTGGAGTCAGCCATGGACCTCCTGCTGTAGGAGACCAGGGGAACACAGCTGTGTCTGTCACTAGCATTTTTATTACCTGGAAAGAAGTAATCTGGTGTCAGCCTTAATAGTTGCACTCAAAAAGTCCAGTGGAGCCAGGAACCAGTGGCTCACGCCTATAATCCTGGCTACTCAGGAGGCAAAGATCAGGAGGATCATGGTTCAAGGCTGGCCTGGACAAATAGTTCCTGAGACTCCATCTCAGAAATACCCAACACATGCATACACACACACACAAGGGCTGTCGGAGTGGCTCAAGTGGTAGAGTACCTGCCTAGCAAAGGTTAAGCCCTGAGTTTAAACTCAGTACAGAAAAAAAAAAGTCTGGTGGATCTAGTTGCATGACCTTGTTGACTGTCCCATCTTCAGGTGGTACCAAGGGCTCAGCCCATCCTACAGATGACAGGACAGTGAGGCATTATGTTGTCAAGAGTGAGCAGCTGATATTGCTTGCCCCAACCCTGCTATGGGCCCATAGCATCTCAATGCCAGTGCAAGTCAGCTTTCTGTTCCTATAACAGATACTTGAGAAAATCCACTTAGAAGGGTTTAGGGCTAGGCATGGTGGTTCAAGCCTCTAATCCCAGCTGAGGCCAGCCCATACAAAAGCATGAAACCCTATTTAAAAAACAAAAGCAAAAAGGAATGGAGGTATGGCTCAAGTGGTAGAAAACCTGCCTATTAAGTGCGAGGTCCTGAGTTCAAACCCCAGAACTGTCAAAAAGAGAGAAAGGTTTATGTCAGCTCATGTATTTAGAGGTTCCAGTCCACAATCAGGCGGATCCCTTGCTGTTAGGTCTCTGTTGGAGATGTCAGATGGCAATGACACAGTCACATTACACAACAAAATAACCTACCTCATGGGCAGGAAGCAAAAAGAGAGAGCAAGGAGGGGCTTGAGCCCCTCTACCCTTTTCAAGAGCATGTCCCCAATTAGCTTCCATTAGGCCCACCTCCTAAAGGTTCTACCACCACTTAATAATGCCATCTTGGGGATGAGTCCTTTGGGGGTCACCTAGCCAAACTATAGCTATGCCCTGAGGGCATTTAGAGAACCCCTAGTTTGAATCTCCTAGGGTCCTCAGCCCTTTATGTACATATACTTCCTCATTAGATGCCCAGCCCCCTCCCAGGCTGCTGGTACCTTAGTGACCCCCAGACCCAGAGCAGTTGCATGATATGCTGCGCTCACACAGCTGGAAGCTGACACCGATCTGACCTGGTCTGTCTGGGGCCAGAGCACAAGGGTTCCCCAGTGTGCCCCAGCTGTGTCATAAGAGTAATCACAGAGATTCATTTTGCCCATTCCCAGAGTCCCTGTGTGTGGAATTTAGTACCAAATGCCTGGCTAAGATGTTGAGCCCTAACTTTCATCACAGCGTTGGGCTGAGAGTGGTTCATTAACTCAGATGTTTACCCACCATGTCCCAGGCAGCCTTCTCAGCGCTGGGGGCTCTGCCCAGGGACCTCTTCCTTCCTTGTGGATTTATGTTCTGGGGAAAGCAGACAGTAAACAAGATCAGTAAATAAAATAGAGAATACACCGGAAGGTGGGAAGCACTTTGAGGGTCAGGGGGACTGCTTTTAGACGGTGGTTAGGGAAGCCTCCCTGTAAAGGTAGTTGATGGACGCTATGATGGAGGTGAGGGAAGAGCCCTTGTGGGTATCTGCGAAAAGAAGGTTCTGGCAGAGGAACAGTGAGGCAAAGGCTCTAGGCAGGGACTGACCCAGGGTCTCTGAGGCAGGGGCAATCATGCGGGGCACATGGCCACAGTGACGGCTTTGCTGCTACACCAAGTGCGTCGCGAAGGGAAGGATGCTGAACCCTCCCCCCCCTCCCTCCCCTCCTCCCTCCCCCCCTCCCTCCAATACTGGAGTTTGAATTCAGGGCTTTGAGCTTGCAAGGGAGGTGCTCTACCACTCCAGCCCAAGAAGGATATTGATTGGAGGGAATGTGGGCTTTGCCATCTGCTAAAGCAGGCACACCCCAGTGCTTGTGATCTTGTAGTTTGTTTTCCATGCACAAAGTCCAGTTCCCCTGACCGCCATTCATCTGGGGACCCAGGTTCTCTCCATCCTGTGGCTCCAGCCTCCTTTGGGGCCTGCTGGCTGGCTGACCAGTGGGAACAGAGATGAAAGTTTGGCCCCTGGGGAACATGTCTACTATCCAGTTTGCTGGAACCAGCCATTGGGTGACACCTATCAAGTGCAAAAGATTCTGGGAGATGTAGTTCACTGGGATGCCAGGAGGAAAAGATGGGTTTGGGAGCAGCTGGCCTGTCTTTCACAGGATGCGATGTACTGGGGGACCAAGGAGAAGGGACTGTACTGCCTCTGTCTTGGAGATGATGGTGCCATGACCAGCAGCTGCAGGGGAGGAAGGAGAAGTAGTTGGGCTGTGAATAGATGAATTTCAGATGCATTGCCAACAAGTTTTGCTGACAGATTGGAAGTATGGGGTGTGGGGAGGAGGGAGTGAGGGAGAGGGAGAGAGAGAGAATGAGAGAGAGAGGAAAACTTTGGCTTGAGTAATGGGAAGGACAGGGCTGCCACCCTCTGAGCCAGGTACACCATGAGAGGCACAGCTCTTTGGAAGGGAAGGTTCAGTGGGAAGAACTCAGTGTTTGGGATCTGAGTCTGATGTCAGTGAAGCCCCATTGGGAGCTGCAGAGGCACCTTCAAGATGAAAGAGTCTATAGAGTTCAACAGGGAGGCCCAGGCTCCCAGTGCACACATGGAGTCACCAGGCCACAGGCTGTAGTAGATCAGTATATAAAAATACGTACACATCGACCCTCTGTATCCACAGTCACATCTACTGGGTCTGCATCCGTATATTTAACCAATCAGGCATCAAAAATATTTGGAAGAAATTGTATCTGTACTGGACACCTACAGACTTTTTTCCTTGTCCTTATTCCAAGAACAATACAGTGTAACTATTTGCACAGCATTTACATTGTATCAGTGTTATAAGTCATCTAGAGATGGTCTAAAGTCTACCCTAGAACGTGTGACAATTCAGTCCTAGAACCAATCCCCTATGAATACCTAGGAACAACGATATTTGGTCTTTGTCCCCAGTTCTTTGTACTAGCTTCTAACACCCTGTGGTTGGAGTGGTTTCATTTAATCATAAGGAACTCTTAGGAACACCCTTGAATCTATGCAAATGAGATGACTTGGGGTGGGGTCCCAAGGTAACTCCTTTGTGCTCACCTAAAAGACCAAACGGGATCAGAGGTGATGATTGTATTGTGTGCCTCGTCCCCCAACCTTTGGGGCCTGGACAGGGGCTGGAGATTGGGTTATAAAACATTTGAACAGTGAGAATTAGAGAGCTTCCAGCTTGGTGGACATGTCAAGTTATCAGCAAAGAGGTGTAAGACCTGTGCCCTGCTCTCTGCCTTGCTCTGTGCATCTTTTTTGTTTAACTGTTGCTGAGTTGTATCATGCATAATAAAGCAGAAATCATAAATAGGTTACACAACTGGGAGCAGGTGGCTCACGCCTGTAATCCTAGCTACTCAAGAGGCAGAGAAACCGGAGGATCACAGTTCAAGGCCAGCTCAGGCAAACAGTTCATGAAACGCTATCTCAAAAATAACCCAGCACAAAAGACAGGGCTGGCAGAGTGGCTCAAATAGTAGAGTGCCTGCCTAGCAAACATGAGGCCCTGAGTTTAAACTTCCAAACCGCCAAACTCCTGAGGTCTGTGAGTCATTCTAGCAATTCTGGAGCTGAGGGAGGAGTCTCCAATTTACAGCTGGTTGGTCAGACATGCAGGGTGGCCTGGGAATTGCATCTGGCACCTGAGGTGAGGGTAATCTTGTGATAGAGCTCTTCAATGTGGGATTTGAGGCTAACTCAGGTAGAGAGTGTCAGAACTGTATTGACCTGGTGGAATGACAGTAATTGAAATGGATCCAGTGGATGTGGAGAATCTGAGTGAGAGAGTGGGTTTTTTTTTAATTATTTGCATTACTGGGGCTTGAACTCAAGGCCTTCACCTTTAGCCACTCCACCAGTCCTATTTTTGTGAAAGGTTTTTCAAGATGGGGGGGGGTCTCACAAACTATTTGCCTGGGCTGGCTTCGAACCACAATCCTCCTGATCTCTGCCTCCTAAGCAGCTAGAATTACATGCATGAGCCACCGGCACCCAGTCAGAGAGTGGAATTTAACACCTTCAGCCTGAGCAGAACCCCAGGGATGAGCTGAGGGCTGAGGCAAGGCCCTGGCCTGAGCTTTGTAGGGCGGTAAGGACCAAGGAGGCCAGGAAAGGTACAGGAATCCAGCATGTAGGCCTGGGGGCCCCAAGAAAAGAGTATCTCAGAAGAGAAGGACAGTCATCCAAGTGAGGTGCCTTGGAGCACTTGGTGGGGGACAGGACTGAGAAGTGCCCACTGTTTTGGCAGTGACAGAGTTATGGTGTCCGGTCCCTGGTGATCTGATTAAATTCAACTGCTACTGCTACTTTCATAACTGTCTCCTTTCTTCCCTCACTGCAGTGGGCAATGGCCTGGTGGCCAGCAGCTCCACTTCATCCAGCTCCAGCTCTGGCTCAGACTCTGAGGAGCCCACTGAGGCCCAGCCTGTCAAGACCTCAGCAGCAGCAGTAGTCACCCCCACCAGCCCAGTGGGCAGCAGTGGGCTCATCACACAGGAAGGCGTGCACATCCCTTTCGACGTCCACCATGTGGAGAGCCTGGCGGAGCAGGGCACCCCACTGTGCCCCAACCCCACAGGCAGTGGGCCTGAAGCCTTGGAGACAGTGGTGTGCGTGCCAGTCCCCATGCAAGTAGGCGCAGGCCCCGGCGCCCTCTTTGAGAATATGCCCCAGGAGGCACTGGGCGAGGTGGTGGCCAGCTGCCCTGTTCCAGGCATGGTGCCGGGCTCCCAGGTGATCATCATTGCCAGCCCGGGATATGACGCCCTCACAGCTGAAGGCATCCACCTCAATGTGGCTGCAGGCAGTGGCACCCCCAGCAGCGGCCTGGGCGAGGAGGTGCCTTGCACCATGATGGAGGGTGTGGCAGCCTATACCCAGACGGAGCCTGAGGGCAGCCAGCCCAGCACCATGGACATCACCTCCATAGCCAGCATCGAGACCAAGAAAGGTCTGGGGGGGCCCCCGCTGTGGCCTCTGGCAGGGGTTGGGAGGGACCCAGGGGAGAGGGAAAGAAGTGGCCCTGGAAATGGGCTCCTCCACGGACCTTAGTCCCCCATGGACACCTGCCCTGTGTCCACCCGTAGAGAAGGAGGACCTGTACATGCTCAAGAAGGAGGAGAAGGAGGAGCCAGTAGCCCCAGAGCTGGCAGAGCTGGCAGCAATGGTGCCTGAGAGCGCAGAGCCCGAGGCAGAGATGGACGGGGAAGAACTGGATGGCAGCGACATGTCAGCTATCATCTACGAGATCCCAAAGGAGCCTGAGAAGTGGGTGCCAGGGTGGATGGGTGGAGGCAAGGGCAAGGAGTGACCTGCATTCCAGGTTTGGTGCCCCGATACTACAGGCCCATTCTTTTGCAGGAGGCGGCGGAGCAAGCGGTCACGAGTTATGGATGCAGATGGCCTGCTTGAGATGTTCCACTGTCCCTACGAGGGCTGCAGCCAGGTCTACGTGGCCCTCAGTAGCTTCCAGGTGAGGCCACCACTCAGGGCATGCTGGCTTGGGGCTGCTGCTGTGTCGGGCTGCCTGTGTGCTGATCTGGACAGTATGGCTCATGGAAGATCCACTGAGTGCTGCTGGCCTGTGGTCTGTCTCCCTGAGCCCACCTCACCCCACCTCACCCCATCTGGTCTCATCAGACCTGGTACTCAGTCCAACAGATCTGGCAGCTCCGACACACTCCCAAAGTCCATCCCAGGCCCCAGGGCCAGAGGCCTGGGAGCACCAGGTCACTGCACCAACAGCACATCATGCCTGTAGTTTGAACCCAAGCCTGGATGGAGTGCCTGAGGGAGGAGGGGGGGTCTCCTCATCCCCACAGCTGTCAGTAGGCCTTCAAATTTACCAAGCCATACTTGCATTAAGCATACATGTATTTAGCTATATATTTAGCACCTGCTGTGTGCCAGGCCATTGTAGTGAGTTGAAGAATAAAAGGACAAAGGAAAGGATGAATCAAGTGCCCATGAATCACAGCACCATGGCAAAGAGCCTGCTGTGGGGCTGACAGCCCTGCCACTGATATCTCTGTGAGATATCAGCCCAACCACAGAGCCTTGAGTGTCCCCATCCATGAATTAGGCTAACAGCTGAACCCTTCCTAGAGTTAACTGGTGTTCCAGCCCAGAGCCTGGCACACAGCAGGAGTCTCCAGTCTGGGCAAGGGCCCCCCTCCTCCAACCTAGTCTGGCTCCAGCCTATGTTCCAACTGCCCTTGAGTGTCCTACCTTCAGGAGCCCTTCAGGTGGGTGCAAAGCACCCACTTCTGCTCCTCTCGTCCCCAGAACCATGTCAACCTCGTGCACCGGAAAGGGAAGACCAAAGTGTGCCCTCACCCTGGCTGCGGCAAGAAGTTCTATTTATCCAACCATCTGCGACGACACATGATCATCCATTCAGGTCAGGCCCTGCCAGCTGGGGCCATGGGCAGGGGCCTGGAGGCCAGGGCTGGGGCAGGCAGGGACAAACCCTGGCACTTGCCAGGTATGGAAGAACATGCCCGTGATCCCAGCACTGTGGAGGTGGAGGAACGGGAATCTTGAGTTGGAGGCCAGCCTAGACCACATAACGAGACTTGATACCTCAAAACACAAGTACAACACACAAACACAAACAAAAAAGCAACCATTACAGAAATACTGCATGCTAACAGTTACACTTCACCTCCTATATGTCCTATAGAAGCACCTGGGGCCCCCCAGGCCACAGGAAAGGGGAGAGCTGGGCAGGGGAGTCAGTGGACTTGAGACTGGGCTTCATTGGCCACTCCCTGGTAGAGAAGTGGGTCTTCCAAGTGGGTCGGGGCCAGGGAGAGAAGCAGGTGGTACAACTCTGAAGGCCAGAGCTTCGATTTTTCGAGAAGCAGAACTGTGGGTTTTCATATGAAATCGCCCAGAGTGCAGAGATGAGGGAAAATTCAGCCCCATCTTGTCTTGGCAGTTGGCACCTTGTGCCCCTCAGGGAACCAAGCTCAAATCCCAGCCCTGCTTGGTCGCATAGCTTGGCAGTGAGCTGCCACTTCATATCTGCTGTCATTGAATTACCCTTTGGGAGGATGAGGGGAGGTGGGCTTGCACCTGGAAGACGCCTGGAGACTAGCCCGCCCCCACAGCTCCCTGCTTAACTGCGTCTCCTCCCTCAGGTGTTCGTGAGTTCACCTGCGAGACCTGCGGCAAGTCCTTCAAGAGGAAGAACCACCTGGAGGTGCATAGACGCACGCACACTGGCGAGACACCCCTGCAGTAAGCGCGAGGGCGCTGGGAGGGAGGGAATCTGAGCGGTCCCTCGGGCGGGCTCGGAACGCATGCGCCTTGCCTTGTTCCACTGCGCTCCGCCCCCAAGCCGGGCTCCCGCCCTGACCCCGCCCCCGGCGCTGGCCCGCTCCCGGCAGGTGCGAGATCTGCGGCTACCAGTGCCGGCAGCGTGCGTCTCTCAACTGGCACATGAAGAAGCACACGGCCGAGGTGCAGTACAACTTCACGTGCGAGCACTGTGGGAAGCGCTTCGAGAAGCTGGACAGCGTCAAGTTTCACACGCTCAAAAGCCACCCGGACCACAAGCCCACCTGACCCACCCGACCACTGACCACCCTATTTATTCATCCAGTCGGACACCATGTCCAGGCTCTGGGCCCGGACAGCTGCGGGGGCCGCCCGGACCGCAGGCCGGAAGGAGGCGCTCCCGCTCCACCACGTCCCAGGGCTGGGCCCCCTGGGCAGGACCCCACCCCGCCCTGTCCCACCCCATCTCTGGAGCTGTCGCCTGGGGCCGAGCTGCTGGAACTGTGTCGGGAGAGCAGAGTGAGATTAAAGCGTGAGAAAGGAGATGCCCTTCCCTTAGACTTGGATGACATGGGGGCGGGGCCCTTCTTGAGCAAGGCCAGATTCGCGAGATGCCCCGACGTGCCTCACAGTCCCTCGGCCCGGCAGCCCCACACAGCTTCTTTGGTAGCAGGGATGAGGGCTGGAGGCCCACGAGGTCACTGGGCATCTCCCAGGACCCAGAATCCTGATGCCCACTCCTGATGTCTCATGGAATACTCATTCCCACCCTTAGCTCCAGGAGGAGCCGGAGAGATGGGACATCTACAGTTAGTAAGGAGCACCGTGCAGAAAATGGCATGATGTGTTGCTTTGCGGGTGCTGTTTAGGTTAGAGGTCAGGAAGTGTCTCCCAGAGGAGGTGGCATTTGCCCATAGACCAGAATGACGGAGGAGCCATCTCCCTAAGAAAGCTGGGCAGGGCAAATTTCAGGCCAAAAGAACTGCCTGTGCAAAGCCCCGAGGTAGCAGCTCGGCGTGTTCCTAGAACAGGAAGTCGCGGGGGGAGGGGAGTTGGCAGCAGCTGGCCGGCTGCCCTGGCCCTACTTCCCTGAGGAAGATGCTGAGGTCGCCTCCTGTGGCCGAGGAGGGGGAAGGAGGTGCAGCCGCCAGGTGGCGCGCAAGCCGCGTGGGCCTGCTAGCTGCTGGCACGTGACCCAAGGGACCGCAACCGCGAGCGCAGGCACGTGCCCCGGGGAGCCTGTGGCGCCACGCGCATTGGTCCCAGTGGGGCGGCAGTTGTGCCTCAGTTTCCGCGGAGGACTTGGGGGTCCCTCAGCCCGGGGCTGAAGAATCTGCGAGGATAAGCGAGTCCGGCAGCTAAGGCCGCCCCCGCGAGCCCCCTCCCCACCAGCCTAGTTGCCGTCTTTTCTCCCTGCACAGCGGGAGCCGACAGTTCCCATGGGAACTACTGCAGGGTCCGCGCACCCCTTTCGACCGGACAGACGCCGAGAGGAACCCGGGGTGGGGAAAGAGTCATCGTTTGGGGTCCCCAGCGTCTGCAGCCAAATCGCCCCGGTAAGCCCAAGAGGGGCCACCCGGGGACCCGCACTGCCACCGCCCCTATTGCGCGGGCTCCTGTGATTGGGCTGCCCTCTCCTGAGCAAGGCGGCACCCTCTGGTGCGCGCTCTGTCATTGGCTCCGTCTCTAGGGCATCGTCCTACGATTGGTTCTCTCTAGAGCCATTCTTGATTGGTCAAATTAGGCTCTACTCGCTGATGGCAACCTGACAGTCTGGAGCCTACAGGGGCGTACAAAAAGGAAGCTAGGGTGGGGACTGCAACTCTCCGGTTAGGGAGTGTGGGCTACCCGCTCGCACAGCTTTTGGCACTGCAGCCTAGCCGCTGTCTGTGGTGCTGAAGACTCGCTCCGAATCCCCCTCCCACACCAGTGAATCCATGTTTCTGCGGCCTCGCTGCCGCCCCGACGTAAAATACACGTGCGGTGCGCCCAAACACCGAAGGAAGTGGCGCTGGCCCCGTTGTCTTAGAGAAAGAGGCTAGGTCCTCCTAGCAGATGGCGCATTCCTCTACAGAAAAACAAACCACGAGAAAGCCAGACATTTACCGGCACGCCTGTCCACCTGAATTTTATGGGGTCCGAGAAGTATCTGTGGTTTCTCCGGGCTGCGGGGCTCCAATAAGGATTGTCTAGAACCCTGAGCTCAAACCTTCACCTTCTTCGGAGCAGTGTGGAGTTCCCCTGCCTGAGACGTGCCCGCAGTGCCCGGCTTTCGAATCCCAGAGGTGCCGGCCTAAATCCACAGGGTCTAGTTACCTTCTGCAGGTAGATCAGGACAGGCCTAACCACGTCTACTCTCACGCGTGGTGTTCAGAGGAGGACACCTGTGCTCCCCAAGTCTAGTGACACAGGCGTCTGCCTTTGAAGTTTTGGTTCCTGGTCCCTTTCTAGTCCCCTCAGGGAAAGCGCCTCCAGAAGGTCGTACGTATGAGCCACTGATACCTCTTCCCTGTTTTCACTCCTCCAGATCTTGGTGCTAGACCGAGGGAAGGTGAGCCCTCAATGTCTCCAAGGCAGAAAGACTGCTCAAAAGGGGGTGCCAAGACAGGAAACAAAGTCCGCGCGGGCAGGAGGGCCAGAATCTGGTAACCCGAGCCTCCAGGATGCGCTTTTTAAGGATGCGGGAGTCCAGGCCAGCGCGCGCTCGCTTCCACCTGCCGCGCCGTCGGGAGCCGCGAGGAGGCGGGGCTCGGTCGCTGCCGCCAATAAGCGACGCCGGCGCTGGCAGCTGCTGCTATAAAGGGCTGGGGGCGGCGGCTGCGCGGCCCAGAGCGCGGAGCGCGCAGCGCGGGCCAGAGGGAGGGAGGGAGGGAGGGCGAGGGGAGAGAACCGAACACCGGGGACCGGACAGGCCTGATCGTGGGGCGGCAGCAAAAGACAGAGCGCCGCGATCTCTGTCGGGAAGCGCAACCTCCCCGGGCCCCGCGGGGCCGAGCAGGGGGCGTCCTCAACCCCTCGCCGGCTCCCTCTTTCCATCCTCTGCCGCCTGCAGGCCACCCCGGGGCCCGGTCATCGGCGCGTGCATCCTCGGGCTCAGGTCCGTCCCTGGCCCTCGAGGGAGCCGCTGCCTTCATCACCGCCTCTGCAGCGGCCATACCAGAAGCCGCCCGGGCGGGACCCCGGTGTGAGCATCGGGCGCCCCCCTAGGAGTGCACGACCCCAAGAGTCGCCCTCAACACGGACCGCGCCCGCCGGGCACACAAGAATGGTCACTGTAGGTATTCCCTTGTCGCCAAGAGATAACCGCCGAGGGGAGGGGTTGGGTCCAGGCTCCTCGGAGATGGCGGGTGGGGGGGGTAGGACCAGGCCTAGCTAGGCCCGGGTGTGGGGGGGGGTAGGACCGCGCCTCGGGCCTGAGAGTGGGGAAGGACCGCGCCCAGAGTGCTGGGGGTACTTAGATCCTGGCCTGAGAGGTCTTGGGAGCCAGATTGCCATTTAGGATGCGTCCTACGCCTCCCTGGAGGCGGGATTGCCCCCTCTCCAGAAGGCCTGATGGGGGAGGGGGAGCGGCGGCAGAGGATGCTTCCTTCATCCAGGCCCAGACCCCGTAGGCCGCCCGGGCAAACGCAGGGCCCCGATCGCTGGTATCCGGCCAGGACACGGCGGCACAGCATCCCCAAGAGCCTTGGGGAAGCGAGTGGCGTCGGACCCGGCGCTCCAGGCCTCAGCCGCGCCCGGGAGGCGGGCGTCTCGTCCTCGAGCCCGTCGACCTTGCGGCAAGCGGGGAGGGGAGAGGAGGGGGCGCGCCCGGAAGCCCCGCGGGCCCGCCGCCTCCGTTGCCGTGTCCCTTTGTTTCTCGGCGCTTCTTCGCGGGCCATAGCCTCGCGCGGGCGCCTCGGGCTGCAGGGAGGGGGAGGGGAGAGGAGGGCCCGCGGGGCGGGGGGGGGGTTGCTTCCCGGCTCCTGGGCTCCCGCCTCCCAAGAGATGGGGTTGGGGACTGAAGCAGCCCCCCTAGGCCAGGTCCAAGCGCTCCACCCCGCTAGGACTCTGGGCCGCGGGGTGACCTTGAACGCGCCCGCCCGCCCGCACCACTAGTCCCGCGCCTGGTGCTTTCAGCAGCCACCGAGCTGGTCAGCTCCCGAGCGCGCGGCCCCGCCCGGGCGGCCACGCCCTGCCTGGCCACGCCCCGGCACGCCCATCTAGGCCCCGCCTCCTAGGGCCCCGGGGACCTGGCCTCGCCCGAGCCCTCGGATTTCCACTCGGCAGCCCGGGCGGATCCCGGGGGCGGGGCTGGCCAGTCATAGCCCCACCCCGGCTCCACCCCCGCCCCTGCCGCGCGACTCCGCTCCCCGCGCCACCGCGCGTCCTTTGTCTGGTCCCGGCGCCCGGGCCTCTCTTTAGGGCTCTTCCTATCTCTGTCTGCGTGTATGTCTCTGTACACCGTGTCTCCTTTTGGGTCCGTGTTTGGAGTCATGGCCAGCACAGTGAGTGTAGCGATGCTCAACACTCCCTCTATGCCTGGGCCTCGCCTCTGCTGGACCTTGGGACCCGCCCACCTGGCTCTGAGAAAGGAGGCTCCTAAAACTGGGCTCACCTGCTGTGTGACTTTACGTGGGCACCTTCCCCTCTCTGGGCCTCACGCCGCTCACCCAGGTCAGGAAACAAGAGTGTAGCCTCCTGAGGACTCTCAGAACCCCCCTAACAGTCTAGAGTTGCCTCACTTGTTCTCCCTATTGAAAAAGAGAAACTAATGCACAAAGAAGGAGAGGGTGTGGTCAGAGGTCACACACGGGGCTTGAGGCCATTGAAGGCCTAGTTCTGCCTTCAAGGTGGGGGACTCTCAAGCAGAGACATCATGGGGACAGTTGGGAGGAAGTGAGGGGACAGATTGAGACAGTGAGGCCCCGAGCCTGGAATGAGAAAGACTCAGAAGTAAGAGGCTCAGTCAGCACCACGTGGTGGCCCAGCCTTGCCATGCATGGCCACTCAATGCCCTATTGTCGCTGGTATCCAGGCATCTGTCACTGTGATGGGGGCCCAGAGGCGCAGCTGGGATCCAACAGGGTCAAACACAGGAGAAACCATGAAGCAAGTGGCCTTAGGTGTGTTTATGACAAATCTGTACATTCCATGTATCTGCAATGGTGGAAAAGAGTTGGAAAGAGAGGTAGGGAGGGGACAAAGAGGTGTCTTGGGGTGGGGGCAGTGGAAAAGAGAAACAGAAGGAAAATGAGAGAGAAACCAAAAGAGGAAGAAATAAGAGACAGAGGAAGAATTGGAGAGGACAGGAAGGAGGGCTCCCTGGCTCCCTAACTTGACCCTTCTCTGTCCTGGGCCAGCCTTCAGGTCCCTATGATGCTGTGCTACTTACTGCCAACCCCAGGCCTAGAGACTTACTGCTGGGGGAGGGCGGGTGTGGTCTCCAGCAATCTGATCCCTGTTACCAGCTCAGCCAGCTCAGCCATGGAGGCGAAAAGCCAACACTGTCGCCCGCTAAGCTCTGGCACAGATGGGAGGGAGAAGAGGTGGTGTGGGGATTAGTAGGCTAAGACTCTGATCCACCTTATCAGTTCTTAACTCCATCCAAATTAGGGACAGCATGGAGACTGGGGGACAGCTGAAACTCCATAGGTTTGGGGCTCTTTTAGGTCAGGAGTCAAATGCTTACTCCCATCACCTCTGGCTCTATTTCTCTATCTGAGAAATGGTGCAGTCTACCTTTCAGCATGGTTGCGGCACATCTGAAAACACATACTCGGTGTGGCTTCAAAAACTGGGATCTGGTGATATCAGAAGTGAAGGCTTCTATCCTGCAAAATGAACCCGTCACAGAACTCTTATTTTATTTTATTTTATTTTGATGTTACTGAGGTTTGAACTCAGGGCTTCATGCTCGCTAGGCAGATGATCTACTACTTGAACTATTCCTCCACCCTTTAGTTATTTTCAGATAGGGTCTCATGTTTTTGCTTGGGACTGGCCTGAGACTGCGACCCTAAGCCTCTCACATAGCTGAGATCCCAGGCATACATCACTCAGCTTGTAGGCTGAGATGGCGTCTCGATGTTTTTGAACTGCTGTTCTCCTGATCTCTGCCTCCCAAGTAGCTGGGGTCACAGGCACATGCCACTGCACCTGGCTCCAGCGCTCTATCTTGCTTGGGCCAGGGGTGAGATTTCATAATCCATCTGCGCTCAGCGGTACCTTTGTGCCATATCTTTGTTGGAGGGACAGAGACTGAGAGAGGTGACATGACAAGAATGAGGAGGGTGGAACCAGCAGCTGGCACGTGGTAACCCTCAGTAAATATTGTTTTAATTGAATGAATACATACAATTGACCTAGTGAGT